CAGACCCCGTCTACACAACACAACCCAGTGCCGGACCCCGTCTACACAACACAACCCAGTGCCGGACCCCGTCTACACAACACAACCCAGTGCCGGACCCCGTCTACACAACACAACCCAGTGCCGGACCCCGTCTACACAACAAAACCCAGTGCCGGACCCCGTCTACACAACACAACCCAGTGCCGGACCCCGTCTACACAACACAACCCAGTGCCGGACCCCGTCTACACAACACAACCCAGTGCCGGACCCCGTCTACACAACACAACCCAGTGCCGGACCCCGTCTACACAACACAACCCAGTGCCGGACCCCGTCTACACAACACAACCCAGTGCCGGACCCCGTCTACACAACACAACCCAGTGCCGGACCCCGTCTACACAACACAACCCAGTGCCGGACCCCGTCTACACAACACAACCCAGTGCCGGACCCCGTCTACACAACACAACCCAGTGCCGGACCCCGTCTACACAACACAACCCAGTGCCAGACCCCGTCTACACAACACAACCCAGTGCCAGACCCCGTCTACACAACACAACCCAGTGCCAGACCCCATCTACACGACACAACCCAGTGCCAGACCCCGTCTACACGACACAACCCAGTGGCAGACCCCGTCTACACAACACAACCCAGTGCCAGACCCCGTCTACACAACACAACCCAGTGCCAGACCCCGTCTACACAACACAACCCAGTGCCCGACCCCGTCTACACAACACAACCCAGTGCCCGACCCCGTCTACACAACACAAGCCAGTGCCGGACCCCGTCTACACAGCACAACCCAGTGCCGGACCCGTCTACACAACACAACCCAGTGCCGGACCCCGTCTACACAACACAACCCAGTGCCCGACCCCGTCTACACAACACAACCCAGTGCCCGACCCCGTCTACACAACACAACCCAGTGCCAGACCCCGTCTACACAACACAACCCAGTGCCAGACCCCGTCTACACAACACAACCCAGTGCCGGACCCCGTCTACACAACACAACCCAGTGCCGGACCCCGTCTACACAACACAACCCAGTGCCGGACCCCGTCTACACAACACAACCCAGTGCCGGACCCCGTCTACACAACACAACCCAGTGCCGGACCCCGTCTACACAACACAACCCAGTGCCGGACCCCGTCTACACAACACAACCCAGTGCCGGACCCCTTCTACACAACACAACCCAGTGCCGGACCCCGTCTACACAACACAACCCAGTGCCGGACCCCGTCTACACAACACAACCCAGTGCCGGACCCCGTCTACACAACACAACCCAGTGCCGGACCCCGTCTACACAACACAACCCAGTGCCGGACCCCGTCTACACAACACAACCCAGTGCCGGACCCCGTCTACACAACACAACCCAGTGCCGGACCCCGTCTACACAACACAACCCAGTGCCAGACCCCGTCTACACAACACAACCCAGTGCCGGACCCCATCTACACAACACAGCCCAGTGCCGGACCCCGTCTACACAACACAACCCAGTGCCGGACCCCGTCTACACAACACAACCCAGTGCCGGACCCCGTCTACACAACACAACCCAGTGCCAGACCCCGTCTACACAACACAACACAGTGCCAGACCCCGTCTACACAACACAACCCAGTGCCAGACCCCGTCTACACAACACAACCCAGTGCCGGACCCCGTCTACACAACACAACCCAGTGCCAGACCCCGTCTACACAACCCAGTGCCAGACCCCGTCTACACAACACAACCCAGTGCCAGATCCCGTCTACACAACACAACCCAGTGCCGGACCCCGTCTACACAACACAACCCAGTGCCGGACCCCGTCTACACAACACAACCCAGTGCCAGACCCCGTCTACACAACACAACACAGTGCCGGACCCCGTCTACACAACACAACACAGTGCCAGACCCCGTCTACAAAACACAACACAGTGCCAGACCCCGTCTACACAACACAACCCAGTGCCAGACCCCGTCTACACAACACAACACAGTGCCAGACCCCGTCTACAAAACACAACACAGTGCCAGACCCCGTCTACACAACACAACCCAGTGCCAGACCCCGTCTACAAAACACAACCCAGTGCCAGACCCCGTCTACAAAACACAACACAGTGCCAGACCCCGTCTACACAACACAACCCAGTGCCAGACCCCGTCTACACAACACAACCCAGTGCCAGACCCCGTCTACAAAACACAACACAGTGCCAGACCCCGTCTACACAACACAACCCAGTGCCAGACCCCGTCTACACAACACAACCCAGTGCCAGACCCCGTCTACAAAACACAACACAGTGCCGGACCCCGTCTACACAACACAACCCAGTGCCAGACCCCGTCTACAAAACACAACACAGTGCCAGACCCCGTCTACACAACACAACCCAGTGCCAGACCCCGTCTACACAACACAACCCAGTGCCAGACCCCGTCTACACAACACAACCCAGTGCCGGACCCCGTCTACAAAACACAACCCAGTGCCAGACCCCGTCTACACAACACAACCCAGTGCCAGACCCCGTCTACACAACACAGCCCAACACAACCCAGTGCCAGACCCCGTCTACAAAACACAACACAGTGCCAGACCCCGTTAACACAACACAACACAGTGCCAGATCCCGTCTACACAACACAACCCAGTGCCAGACCCCGTCTACACAACACAACCCAGTGCCAGACCCCCTCTACACAACTCAACACAGTGCCAGACCCCGTCTACACAACACAACCCAGTGCCAGACCCCGTCTACACAACACAACACAGTGCCAGACCCCGTCTACACAACACAACCCAGTGCCAGACCCCGTCTACACAACACAACACAGTGCCAGACCCCGTCTACACAACACAACCCAGTGCCTACACAACACAACCCAGTGCCAGACCCCGTCTACACAACACAACCCAGTGCCAGATCCCGTCTACACAACACAACCCAGTGCCAGACCCCGTCTACACAACACAACCCAGTGCCAGACCCCCTCTACACAACACATTCCAGTGCCAGACCCCGTCAACACAACACAACCCAGTGCCAGATCCCGTCTACACAACACAACCCAGTGCCAGACCCCGTCTACACAACACAACCCAGTGCCGGACCCCGTCTACACAACACAACCCAGTGCCAGACCCCGTCTACACAACACAACCCAGTGCCAGACCCCGTCTACACAACACAACCCAGTGCCGGACCCCGTCTACACAACACAACCCAGTGCCAGACCCCGTCTACACAACACAACCCAGTGCCAGACCCCGTCTACACAACACAGCCCAACACAACCCAGTGCCAGACCCCGTCTACAAAACACAACACAGTGCCAGACCCCGTTTACACAACACAACACAGTGCCAGATCCCGTCTACACAACACAACCCAGTGCCAGACCCCGTCTACACAACACAACACAGTGCCAGACCCCCTCTACACAACTCAACACAGTGCCAGACCCCGTCTACACAACACAACCCAGTGCCAGACCCCGTCTACACAACACAACACAGTGCCAGACCCCGTCTACACAACACAACCCAGTGCCAGACCCCGTCTACACAACACAACACAGTGCCAGACCCCGTCTACACAACACAACCCAGTGCCTACACAACACAACCCAGTGCCAGACCCCGTCTACACAACACAACCCAGTGCCAGATCCCGTCTACACAACACAACCCAGTGCCAGACCCCGTCTACACAACACAACCCAGTGCCAGACCCCCTCTACACAACACATTCCAGTGCCAGACCCCGTCAACACAACACAACCCAGTGCCAGACCCCGTCTACACAACACAACCCAGTGCCAGACCCCGTCTACACAACACAACCCAGTGCCAGACCCCGTCTACACAACACAACACAGTGCCAGACCCAGTCTACACAACACAACCCAGTGCCAGACCCCGTCTACACAACACAACCCAGTGCCAAATCCCGTTTACACAACACAACCCAGTGCCAGACCCCGTCTACACAACACAACCCAGTGCCAGACCCCCTCTACACAACACATTCCAGTGCCAGACCCCGTCAACACAACACAACCCAGTGCCAGACCCCGTCTACACAACACAACCCAGTGCCAGACCCCGTCTACACAACACAACCCAGTGCCAGACCCCGTCTACACAACACAACACAGTGCCAGACCCCGTCTACACAACACAACCCAGTGCCAGACCCCGTCAACACAACACAACCCAGTGCCAGACCCCGTCTACACAACACAACCCAGTGCCAGACCCCGTCTACACAACACAACCCAGTGCCAGACCCCGTCAACACAACACAACCCAGTGCCAGACCCCGTCTACACAACACAACCCAGTGCCAGACCCCGTCTACACGACACAACACAGTCCACATGACAACTGATCCCCATCAGATCTGCTCAGGGTCACACGGTTCACATCACACTCAAACGACTCACACAGATGGTAGTGCTGGTTGATTCTTCAACGAATCACTCTTTTAAACTGATCCACAGCGATTCACAGATCGAACCGAATCAAACCGTATTAATACTAAAATGATCCGGTCTGATTGATGAATTTTTCCGAGTGATTTACTGATGTGCGAATGCAAGCATGTACTGGAAATACGCTTATGACTACTAGTATTATACAATATATTAAAAATGCAAAACCTTGCTGTCGATTCACAGCAGAGAAGCTGAAGGTTGATGTAATTGTTTGCATGTATTTTCAGATGCGATGAAGAGCAGCACAAACACCGTCATCACTCTCAACTCCCAGATAAACCCATGCATTTCATGCGATTTATGAGTTTTGCTTATCTGGCAATCCTTTGGGAAAAGATCTGAGGTTATGTGTTCAGGAGATGTGTGTGTGTGTTCAGGAGATGTGTGTGTGTGTGTAGGAGATGTGTGTGTGTGTAGGAGATGTGTGTGTGTGTGTGTGTGTGTGTGTAGATGTGTGTGTGTGTGTAGATGTGTGTGTGTGGTAC